GAGGGGGGGGGGGGGGGGGAGAGAGAGAGAGAGAGAGAGAGAGCTAATTCTTACTGTATCTCTGACAACAAGGGAAGGGCTGGCATTATGATTGCAGAGATCCAAACAAACCTCCATTCCTGAATTTCCACAGCCAACCACCAAAACCCTCTTCCCTCTAAAATCGTCACCACTCTTGTACAAACTTGTATGCACTATTTTCCCTCCAAAGTCCTTCATCCCTTCAATCTCCGGCACCACAGCCTCCGCATTCTCCCCCGTCGCCACCACCAACCACCGGCACATGTACTCCGTCTCCTCCTCCTTCAACCCCACACTCTTCACCCTCCAAAACCCAAGACTCTGATCATACTCAGCTCTCTCCACCTTCTGGTCAAACTCAGGCTTGATCTCATATCTTTTCGCATAATCTTCCAAGTATTCAATGAACTGTTGCTTAGTAGGGTAAGTGGGAAATTCCTCCGGGAAGGCCATGAGAGGTAGCTCACAGAATTGCTTAGGCAAATGAAGACGAAGGCGATTATATGTCTTGAGCTGCCACAGAGAAGCTATACAGTTAGATCTCTCTAAAATTACACTTGGTACCCCTTTTTCCTTCAAACAAGCTGCTGCCGCTAGCCCTGACGGTCCAGCGCCGACGATGACCGGTCCGGGGACCCATACACGTCTCGGAGATTGCGTCATGGTTTCATTGGAACGACGATCATGAGCTCTTTTACCCTCTATCTCCCTCAAATAGTTCATGAACAGTGCAAGCACAGTATATAACTGTTGAAGAAAATTCTAAGTTCTGTAATTCAAAACTGGGTAAGATTATAGAAAACAGCATATATTTAGGAGACCCATTTAGTCAAAAGAACGTGTTGTTGATGCATAAAAGATTGAAGCTTTCTCTCTTCTAAGAAATAAACTGAGATTTGACGATAACTTCTCTCTTTTCCAAAGAGAGATTGGGCATGATCAGTTGATTCCTCAATTGGCGGAGTGGATTAGGACTTAGGAGAGTTCTTATCCACTGGTGAGAATGAGTTTCCTTGACCTTCTGTATTGTTCAAAGGAGAAATAACCGGAGGGAAGGGCTAAATCAGCATTCATTCAGCAGAAAGATAGGCTGAGAGAGAGAGAGTGGGGGAGAGAGAGATGGTGATATCTCTATATATTCCTTTTGTTCATAGGAGGGTACTGAACTGAATTCACACAAGAGCAAGTAATGGAAGTGGGACAGATATATAGTGTGTACATGTTACAAGCTTTAGTGTTTAATGGTGTGTACATATTATAACTTTAGAACTAACACTATTTACAAACAATAAACATTTGTTAAACCGCCTGACAAACGTCACCATACTGTCACAAGCGAGACTTACTATTATTCATTGGGAGTTTGAGAAAATTAATTAAGTAATTAATAATGTTATATCTTATAGAGCCCAACTAATGATTTAATTTAATGTAATTGTTGGATTAATTATGAATTTTTTTATATTAAATAGAGTCCATTTTCAATCCAACGACTGTATTAAATTAAGTTCTTAGATTAAGTACTCAAATTAAGTGCAAACAACATTTTTCTTAATAAATTTGTTTGCCCTTAGTTCTTTTGAAAATCTTGAAGTACTCTTAATTAGAGAAAAAGTAAATAGTCATTAATGGATTTGGACACTCGCATTTATTTTGTATAAATACACATAAGAAAATATATAATATTTTAAATATATTTTATTAACATCATACTGCAATCGCATTTTTTGAACACTCGCTTAAGATGCCAATTTTTGAGATGAAATTTGTGAGTTACGATTAACTAATTCTTGAAACAAACTAAAAAAATTACTACTTATTAACATAAATAGGTTGGTGTAATGTCAAACTCGAGTAACACTCGACAAATTTATATCAATATGTACAAAAAAATATGTATTTTTTTTATCAGGTATTGTGTAAATCTTTATAGAATTAAAAGATTTGTTACTTTGTTTTCTAGAATTGAATTGTTCATATTTTTATTTTTTGGGGATCACTAAGTGGTGGATATAGTCTAGAGAAAAGAATCATAGTCCTAGGTTATTAGTTCATGAGTTATGTGGGTCACTCCGAACTGCACACACTAAGAACCACATCGGGTCATGTTAACATATAGGATACGATTAATTAAATAATTAGGGCTAGAGTTTAACATAAACTCGAAATGTGACGGCCTAAACATGAACGATACAATTAGATTGTCACTCTTACCTTGATACTATGCATCTTAGTTGAATTTATAACAGTTGATTAATATACATTAAAAAAAATTAAAGAAAAAGTATATCGAATTATCTCTGTCCTATAACATACATTAAAAAAAATGAAAGAAAAAGTATATCCAATTATCTCAGTCCTATCATTAACTAGGAAAGTTTGTTCTTCTCTTTAGTCAGTAAGACAAAAATGTGCCTTTCTTTGTCTTTCATTATGTAGAACATTGGGGCTTCCGTTGGATGGAGAGGGTAGTTTTGGTTGGCCATGGGTTGGACTGTGCCGGCCTGGACCGGGTGGGATTATTAATTGTACTCCACTTAAAACCATCTTGATCTTAAAGGTAATTCTAGGTAAAATTAGGTCAGATATGGTACCAACGGGCAAAATTTCCTACAGATTTAAGGGTAGAGACCCAAAACTTCAAATACAAAGCAAGAATTATCTGGGGGTGATAATCGCGTCGTGTTGGATTGTATTCGTGTTCATGTCGAGTCATTTTGAATGTATGTCAAACATTAGTCAATTTTAACTCAATCTGTTTAATTAATAGTGTCTTGTCGTGTTAACCTATTTATTTTTGTGTCTTATTCATATTGACCAATATAACCCGTAAATACAAACTTCAACGTTCAGTTTTATGTCATCTGACCTCTTTATTTGGTTTTAAAATTTGGTCAGCGTAGTATTACTGTTTCTATAAACTAAAATTCTGATTTATTTTATCCAAGGTTTTTGCCATGAGGGATACTTGTTATGTATAGGTCGTGTAGTGTTAAATTTATTGAACTCTTGTTCGAACCATTTAAAATTGTTTATAGTCGAGTTTGTATAGTGTAAGAGTCGTGTAAATATAAGTGGTGTAAAGTTATATGAGTAATGTTACATGGATTTAAAAATTAAACTTGATAATCTCAACCATTGAATAGGTAGTGAGTCCCAATAAATGCTGGGACCCACAGTGAAATCAATGGTTGAGATTATCAAGTCTAATTTTTAAGTTTACTTTTTAAATCCATATAGCATTACTCAAGTTATATATAACTAGGTAGGTGTACATGAATTTGTGTTGACCCGTTTAATAATAACTTCTGGTGGGTCAGTTTGTTATGAACTTTTTGGAAACATGCAGTGCGACGATCAATTAAAAAAAAAAAGAAATCAAGACAAATGAACACGAGATTTACGTAGTTTGACAGAAATTCCACTTATGTCTACTGGTTTTTTAGTGTGCTAAAATTTCCACTGGGTCGCAACTTATTTGTAGATACCAGTTTATTCCGCTCAACTTCGTTGTGTTGGACTCTACTTTGCTACACTCCGCTCTGCCCACAAATACATTGTCTTTTATGCATAATTAATACGAGTCACCCATTATTTCTAACGGGACTTGAATTCATTAATACCAATTATAAATCCATATACCAAGATCTCAAACCCGGATTAACTGGTCGGAATAAGAATTTTTGGTCCGAATCCTAGCAGCAAGATATCCGAAAAATGACATTTCTGTGGCAAATAGTATGACTAATAAAGTGAGATCAAATTGGTTCAAGGGTTATGATGGCAGAGGGGGAGCAGCTACAATGTTGATGATAAGGTTGGTTGGCAACTCTTTGGGCTCAAGTCATGAGAAATGAATACCCTAATCCGGGAGTAGATGATCTATCTTTGATAGAAAGGAAATTAGTCAAGATACGCGTAAACTACCTCAGTCATGCCTTACCGTTGAACAAAAAGGTCAAAAAAAGGTAAGATTGGTGGGTAGAAATACTCACTTTTCCATGAACTTATAGAAGGGTGGCGGTACCAAAAATATAAGACTCCAGAGTAGTACCTCAACACCATAACTGTGGTGGTTGTAGTGGTTAAGACTTTTCGGTTAACCAAAGACTGTAGTAGATAGAGAGAGTGACGGGGATGAATTTTTTTTATTGTAATATGATTTTGAGAGTGACAAGGTGAGAGGATCACCCTTAGAAGCATTAAATTTGAGCTTTTTCCTCTTGAGTCGTGATGGAAATCTAGTTGTCTTGATATGAAATTTCATAATATTAATTAAAAGTTTAATGCATTCTCTTCTCTTGAGATTATTCCTTGGGGGAATCGTTAGTATGGATTTGTTAACTTTATATAGAATTCGATAGTCCAATAACTTTAGATAGAATGTTCAGTTTGTACTACTTGAGAAACAAAAAGTTTCATGTACACCAACATTAGGAAGAATGAGGAGATAGGGTATGGTTCTTGTGTTGATCAAGATAGATCACAATAACCTAAAAATAAAGTCAGAGATTGGAGGAATTTTGAAGTCGATCCTCTGATACTTAAGCAAAAATGGAATTTAGGAGAATTCAATGATTCAAAAACTAAAAATTGAGGGTTAAAATTAGTCTTTGAATTGATCTTATTAGAATTAGAATCGGGTTCTTATGTTTATCTCTATATTTATCCTTACCTGTGTAATTCAATTTGTCTTTTATGTGATTTTCGTCACCCCACTTTTACTCAAATTGAGACTCTTTCAAAGCTAGGTTGGGCTAAAAATAAGGGGATGAGCTAATCAGACGTTCAGACATATTGCTTAACTTAGTGAATTTTTCTTTTGAAGATAAACATAAGAAATTACTCAGCTCGGACTTGTGTTAGGTTTGGTCATCCATATGACAACCTGGCTTGGCAAAGGTCCCGATCAGCTATAAGTGCACCAGCTTGGGAAGAACTAGAAAAGGTAGAAAATAATTTTTATCGGCAAACCCTACATTGGGCAAGAAGTCACTATCTCCGATATGTCGAGAAAATATTGAATTTAAAGATGACACCATCATCAATGTCCCTTGGTGTTATCAACCAGTGATAAAATAGTAAAGTGCATTTAGTGGACTTTGTTGTTTTAATAATTATTAATATCACCTTATCTAATAACTGTCATGTTAGAATAGTAGGGGTTCACCAATCTCATTTGTTGTTTTATAATTGGTTCAAAATATCACGGTGACATTATTAACGTGGTATCACCGTTACACCCTATATTTACTCTAATATGTCACGTCATCATTTCTTCAATGTCATGTCACATCACGATGAAAGCCTATAATGGCCAATAATTACACTAAATATTTTTTGACAAGTTTATTAGGATTACACCACCCTTGTGTGTGTATAAATAGGCTAACCATCTCCTTGCCTCAGCACGTGCAAGCAAATACCTCAAGTATAAGCACGTGCGAGCAAATACCTCAAGTATAACCTCTTTCTTCTTCCTTGAGTATTACACGGCCAAGGGGTAAGTCTCCATTACAGTAAATTTGTGTAACTCTTCTACTTAGTGAACAATTTAACTTACTGTGCATTTTCTCTTATACCATCACACACTCTATACATCTCACATAGAGCTCATCAGATCATCCAACTCATGTCTCTCAGTTTTCGGCATTATCATCTTTGAACAAGATTGACAGACTTATTTACAATTAACAGCGTTGATTGGAGCATAGTATCATTACATTAGAAATGAAAAACCTCCACCATCATAAGTACTACTTGTACTTATCTTCTAGCAACTATGATTGGAGCAGGAAAGTCCAAAATAATAAGTATAAGTGTGGGATTATAAGCACACACGAGTGTCTATTATTGGCTAAAGGTCGTTTTTAAAGGTAGTTGCTTTAAGGGAATGTTTGGCACAATATTTAATTAGGTCTCGTTTAGGTGATTGACTTGGACCCTATTCGCACCCTTGAAAGAAGCTGCTGAAAGTTTGCTGGCCATTAACCACAGTGGCATCATGCAAGGAGTTCTGGGACTTGATATCATATATAGCAATGCCAATCAAGCCTTTAATACTGCCTAATAATTGGGTGAAAAACAACCACATAAAATTTTGAGGCTTGTAGGAATGATCTTTTCGAACAC